AGATCAGGGAGACTATATTTCTTGTAAAAAGAAAAGGAGTACTTGTGGCACCTTAGAGACTAACCAATTTATTTGAGCATAAGTTTTCGTGAGCTACAGCTCACTTCATCGGATGCAGCTGTAGCTCACGAAAACTTATGCTCAAATAAATTGGTTAGTCTCTAAGGTGCCACAAGTACTCCTTTTCTTTTTGCAAATACAGACTAACACGGCTGTTACTCTGAAACCGATATTTTTTGTGCTGTCATAATGCCCATGCTCATACCCAGGCAGTGAGGAGAAGGAGGAAGCAACCTGCTACGGATGCAGAAGGGAAGAAAGTTGGACCTGGGGAGGGGCTTGTATTGAAGGGTGGGGGGAGACTGGAATGACAAATATGAGTATTGGAGCCTGGGGCTGGTAGGTGAGGAGAATGGGAAAATGGTATGAGGAGCTGGGGTGGGGAAGAGAGAGGAAGGGGACAGGACAGAAGGGGTCTGTAGCCACTAGAGGGCACCCTTCTACAGAGTCTGGAATGGAACCCAAGATTCCAGTGTCTTACGATTCCTCTGCTGTCCACGAATACCTGTGAAACCTATTGGCAGAATGTCTCATCCCACTTAAATGCTGGCTCTCATAGAAGATAACCTACTTCTGGTATCAGTTATTTTATTAGCTCAAGTAGCAGAGACCTCTGCAGTAAATCTAAAGGTTCCAACCCTGCTGATGACCCATGTGGGTGTCAGATTTGCCACATGATGGAATTTCTGTTCTTCAGTTTGCTTGTTTTAAAATTCTATGAAAGTGTTCACACACAAACTACGTTAAAATAACATTATTAAGGTTGCAAAGTCAAGCACTCAAAAGCAACCTTAATTCATCCCCCTGGTGTGTATGCATTTTGATATAATCCTGAATTACACGATCACATTGTATTTTTTCCAGAGGATGAATCTGGGGGATGAATCAAGGTTGAGTAGTGAAGGAGTCCATTGTCCTTAGGGCCCCTGCTTCTTTTTGTTGCAGAAGTTGGAAGGTGTGTAGTGAATGAGGCAGAGGATTGCTGGAAGTCAAAGCACGGTCTCATAGTTAAGGCAACTGAATGCTGCCCACAAGAACTGGATTCTATCCCTGCCTCTGCCACAACATTCCTGTGTGATGCTAGTCAAGTCACTTAAACCTAACTTTTCACAGGTTGTCACTAGTTGTGTGTTCCTCTTTTTCTATGGCCCTGACTTGGTATGCTGGGGTCTGATTTGCAGAAGGGTTGAGCACAGCTGCAACTGACATCAATGGGAGCTGTGCTTTGCACATAAAAAGCGTTATGTAATGCTATGTACTCTGAATTATCAGGTCCTAGGTGTCTCAAATACGCACACAAAATTAGTGAAAACTAGATCTCAAAATCTGTGCCTCAGTTCCTCAGCTGTAAAATTGGTATAATGCCACCCCCTCATCTCACAGGAGTGTTGTGAAAATAAATTAATTAATATTTATGGAGTGCATCTCTCTCCCCCTGTCCCACTCGCATCCCAATCCTACCATTCTCCCTGGTTCCAGAGAGGAGTTTCCTCAAAGCAGATACAGTACATGCAAATATTAATCTGTGCTTAAAACAAAAAGCCTTATGCCACTAGGTGGCAAAGTAATCAACATATAAGGAATAAGTAGTAGTAGTAGGTGGTCATCCTTTACGTTTTTAATGTATACCAGTTCTGGTTACAGACCCATATGTAACAAGTGCCAGAAAAAAAAAAACTTAGTTTTTGTTAAAACAAAGCATGAATTAAGTAGCTGGGATTCATTCCAACAGCAGCTGCTGGAAGCTCCCCCTTCAGAAGTTGAATGATTAGCTTCCATTTAATTTAAAAAGTGATTGTCATGTTCCAGACCTAAAGTTTAACATGAGGTACATCTTCATTTTAAAACAAATCTGTTTTCTTAGGATAGGCATTGCGAGGTTTATTCCGGGTTTTTAAGTTAATAGAACCATATATTCCGAGGCCAGAAAGGATCACTATGGCCATATAGTCTGCATAACGTAGGCCATCGAATTTCACCCAATAAACTCTTCGTCAGGCCCCCAACCTCTGGTTGAGCTAGAGCATATCTTTTAGAAGACTTCCAGTCTTTTGTTTTAAAACTTCATGGCAGAGAATCCACTACATCCACAGGTAAACTGTTCCATTGGTTAATTACCCTCACTGTTAAAAAATTGCACCTTATTTCTTAGCCAAGTACATGAGCAGTCATCCTATCTCTCACATCATAGAATCATAGAATATCAGGGTTGGAAGGGACCTCAGGAGGTCATCTAGTCCAACCCCCTGCTCAAAGCAGGACCAATCCCCAATCTTTTGTCCCGATCCCTAAATGGCCCCGTCAAGGATTGAACTCACAACCCTGGGTTTAGTAGGCCAATGCTCAAACCACTGAGCTATCCCTCCCCCCTGCCCCCCTTGAGGGCAATATCCTGAGCTCTGCTCATATCACAGTAACCACTTTCCCCCATGAAATCAATGATGTCCTCCTGTCTGCGCTGGTGGCTATTCTCAGGGGAGTCGCAGGCTCTAGTATAGGCCCTGGACATCTGAGTTCACGGAGCGTCTAGTGAAAGGAGGAGAGTTGAGCTTTAGTCAGTGAGGTGCGGAGTGCATAATTCTTCTCCAATACATCATGATACAGCTCCGTCTGCCGCTCCTCAAAGAGAGTTCATTCGTCACAGGAGAACTAGACAGCAGCCTCATCGAGAGTCACAGGGACCTGGGATCTCCAGGGTTATACTCAGCACCTTCGGCTTCCATCCCATCCAGAAACCTGCAGCTCTGGGTCTCGGAGGAAGGGTTTTCTCTGTGATAAATGAACAGCAACATGTGGCACAGGAGGCATGTGACATTCTCTGTAACATAAGCATCCTCCTGGCAGGAGGGGAAACTTGTCCTCTGCTTGATATACTGGACAAAGAGCCTTGATATCCTAGAGGCCCTGCTTGTTAGAGGCGAGCGTTATTGCTCAGAAGGCGCTTACATTTAAGAGAGAAGTGCTCAAGGAATGACCCCCTGAAGATGCCAGCAAACCTTATTGATTAGTGATCTTGGAAGGTGGGGGTTAGCAGAGGAGCCAATCAAAGATTCAGTCCTGTTCCAGTCAGTAGGTGACTAGGGTAGTCACTGACAGCTGTAGGGGTAGTCCCCAACCCTACAGTTCAAAGGCAGCACACAAGGATCATCTGTCTTGATTTATCTTTAGAATTTGAAATTCATCCAGCCTTGGTGCTCAATTTTTTTTTCATTTTTTTTTAAATCATTCAATAAAGGCAAAACATACGTCACCTGCATGGGCTGTCTGTGCAATGCTGCCGTCAAGTGGCTTGGGGCACAGAGAATAGGGACCCTGTTATTGTTATCAGCTAAAGAGTTCTCTAGTTGCTAAACTGATTCAGGCCTGGATTTTTGGGAGAACTGAAAAACCAGGCTTCACCTTCTGGTTACCTGTGCATGTATGACTTTTATATCGCAATTGTCTGACTGTAATACATAAACTTGTTACGCTGTGCACGCATGCACGTAGCTCTGGATCTGTAGCACCAGTGTGTGACTTATCACCCAGAGTCAGTGCCATGTTTGTACTAAAAAAATGCACACCCCCCAAAATTAAATGTAGCACTCAAGATCGTATAAAACTGCCCTCCACTCTCACATTGTGCACAGCTTTGCTTGTGTACTAGAGATATCTGCCCTGCTGAGTGATGTCTTATCCCATGGAAGTCAGTGAGAGTTGAGGAAGTTCAGCACCCCTCAGGAGCCCATCAGCACTAGTCTGGGAATAAGGAGTGGTACTGATGGTCTGTAAGATCTGCAGGACAGGGACCGTCTTTTTGGGGTGTGTGTGTGTGTGTGCAGTGCATAACACAATTGGACTCCAATTCCTGATTGGGACCACTAGGTGCTTCCACAACCACATATTCCTTATGATTAGTGCATATAACATCAAAGGTACAACATGCTGAACTCCTACTCCTAATCTGAGAACTTTCTTCAATTACCACACAGTTTTAAGTTATTCCTATTTTATCGGTCATTATAATTGATAGTTGTAGCGGAAATGAAAGTTGGTGGGTGTTTTTATTTATTTTATTTTTTTTTAAGGCTTACTAATGAGTTGACTCCAAGCCCAGGGATAACAAACCTGGATGATCTGGTAATTGGAGATACATCACAGAAAAATTACAAAATAAAGATATGTGAATTCTGCTCTAATAAAGGCATCTTGGTTGGTCTTAGTGCTTGCTTCTGAAGGTAATGAATGAGATCCACACCAAATCTTTGAAATACATGTTCTTGCTGATGAAGAGTAACAAAAATAACATGCAGGTGCAGGCAAGGTATTAACTGCAATGGCTTGCATGTTTGCTAACCTAGACCAGCCATGTTTGAGTAAAAAATAATCTAAATAGATTTTTTTTTTTAAATCCCCTTTTTTATGGTGTGCTGTGGGGAGGAGGGAAGAGACTGTTTGCAAACTTTTCCGGAGTGTTTCTCAACTGTTTAGTCATTTTACCCATTTGCAACTAATTTCCATAAGCTCTTACTCATGCTTTCCAGTTGGCCTCTAAAACTCTGCCCTTGCCTGAAGCTGTGAAGTCCAAACCTTCTTTACTTACTAGCGTCCAACAATCTTATCTTAGCTTATCGCTCTAACAAGCTTTCATCCCGGTTCCCTCAAATGGAGAGCGAGAGGAAGCAGTTGCTGGGACACAGAGATAAAAGAATAGAAGCAGGACACTTCACTAGGATTTAATGCATATTAAAACAGGGGATTAATGTATTTTCATTTTCACATTGAGCTTTATGGGCATCTTACTGTTCCTTGAGTGAAATAAAATGACCTTTAAACTCCTCAGAGGTGGACTGGGGAGGAAGCTGTTAGCACTTCTTTAAAGTTGAAAGAGCTGAGTAGTGCAGTGTGCATCTGATATAAGGCTGATGTTTCAACCAAAACTGTATTTCTCCTTTCCCTAGGGATTCCTGAAGAATGAAAAAGATAATGCTTTGCTGTCAGCCATTGAAGAGTCCAGGAAAAGAGTAAGTTGGAAAGGAGTATTAAAAAAATAAAATCCAAAAGAACATTTCCACAAATCAAGTGCTGTCTTTGATAAACAGACAAAATTTAAAAGCTCTTGATTCTTTCACAGTGTATGGAACAATTATAAATGGCTAGTACTACTTATTCTTTGCTCTATGAATAGAGTAGAATTTGTTTTTGTGTACATAGCCTTTGAAACTGTACTTTCAGAAAGTCCTTGCAGTATAATGAGTTTGATTTTGAGAATGTGGTAATTCTGTTAACAAGTGGGTTAGCCATTATGGGTTTGACAATAGATCTGAGACACACACACAACACAGAGTATTGGACATTAGAACCTCTTTATTAAAGTGGCAACGTCCTCTTTGTGACACTGAAAAGCACTCTGATCCTTACTTATTAAGAAATGTCTTGGGGAGGTAGCAGACTCCCAAGATGATAACTTTCTATAAAAGGACAATATGCAGTGAATTCACTGTAAGCATGTCTCAATTTACACGTCAGTATGCTGAGTTGTGGAGTTCTCTACGTACAGTGAGTACTTGTGTTCAGAGTCCAGCAAGCAATGGTGCTATGAGATTTAACTATTGTGTATATACAACATTCGAAGCATCCTTATTAAATGGTTTGTTTTTAGTGGGTAAATGTTCAGAGCTAAATTCTTTTTATATAAAAATGATATTCACCGAAGCTGTATGCAAAAATATTGCAGCACTGTGTTTCCATATACACACAAACACTCGAAACGCTTGTTTAAAAACCTAATTGGAATTTCTGTTTAATCATAAAGGTAATGACACTACAGTGGAAATATGGAGCCTAGCTGGATCCAGTCCTGACTACATAAGAGTATTTAATATTATACAATAAGGAAGAAACAAAAGTCTCATGATCTACTCGTATGCAGACACTGCAATTAAATGTTGGCTGTCAAATGGCCTTTTATGAAATCATATATACTGTTGTTTTTTTTTTTTCCAATTGACAGTATCCTAATATTGGGCCATAATGAGTTGGAAAAAATTAGTGCAGCCAACCAAAACATTTAGTCACACACCACAGTGCAAAATTGTGTGTGCGTGTGAAAGAGAGAGAGTTGGATGAGGGAAAGGAAGTGAGATCTAAGGGTATGTCTTCATTACCCGTCAGATTGGCAGGTAGTGATCGATCCAATGGGGATCGATTTATCATCTCTAGTCTAGACGCGATGAATCGACCCCCAAGCACTCTCCCGTCGACTCCTGTACTCCAGCGCCGCGAGAGGCACAGGCAGAGTTGATGGGGGAGCAGCAGCAGTTGACTCACATAGTTGAAATTGCGTAACTTAGATCGATCCCACCCCCATTGTAGACCAGGGCTAAGGCAGGGATAGTCAATAGGCAGACAGCGGGTCAAATCCGGACTGCCAGATGCTTTTGAACAGACCGTGAAATCTTTTTATTTGCTTATCATTATTATTGTTGTTATTTTCTTTGGACCTTGACTGTACCTTGACCAAGAAATATGAACCTTGACCAAAAAAAAAAAAAATTGATTACCCCTGATCTAAGATAATCTCTTCTCTATCTGGAGCTAATGAAGATGTTGGGTTATTTCCTGTCTCATTTGTTCGTGGCTACTTGTCACGATCACACCAATATTGAATGGGACTGCAATGAAGCAGCATCTCTTCTCTAGTGCTGTTGCTGAAGGAATAGTGAGCAAACTCCTGTCCTTCCATGAGTTTAAAAGTCATATCTGAAGGGCTCGCGTCTCATCAGTTTAGTCACTTTAGAGGTAAACTATCTTTGCTTCCAAGATAAGGTGGTCCTGTTTACTTCCTTGAATTTTGGAAAGGCTAAGAGAACAGGGCAACTTAGGGACCGTCCTTGAAAGGTGCTGAGCATGAACTCCATGTGAGTAGCAGGTGTTTAGCACTTTCAGACCGTTAATCATTGCTTTCCACGCCTCACCAGGGCCTATTTGTGTTTCTCACAATGTTCCGTGGCTCCTCCGACAACACCTGCCCATAGTCCAGTGCCCCATGTTGCATACTGTTCTCCTGGCCATGGTTAAAGTGGGCTGCCTTAGCATCTATGAGCTCCACTCCTGCATGAGATGCTGCCACGACACTCCCAGCCTGGCAAGCAGGTGACAGAAAGTGGGAAGTGTTTTTGCTGTGAAGCCTAGCTCATTGAATTCCAATGCCACGTCTGCCCTGGAATCCAATCTCCTCCCCCGTAAGAAGAGTCAATTAAGTCCTAAAGTATCTCTTCTTATAGCTTCTAGGTCTTCAGCAGTCCAAGTGGTGGTTCTGTTATCATCTGCAGTGATTCCCCCCACAAGCAGATGGAATACAGTCCCTGCATTCTGTATGTTACTTATAAGACAGAGGCCCTAGTCAGGATCAGGGCCCTGTTGTTCTAGGCACTATACAAACACATAATATGCCACTTAGATATCCGGAATTTTGAGCTCTCTTCCCTGATTTTTTTTGTTTTTAAATTCTTCAGGGGCGATGTCTTCAGCCTGCTTCCTGAAAAATGAGGAGTATCCCATAAAAGCCTCCAAATAAAACAGGGGCATTAAACACGCATCTCTCTTTCATGCTATGTCTTTTAGATTTGTAATAATACAGTGAAACCTTTATTTTAACGGAACTGCCCAAGAGCCCACCAAAACTAGTTGCCTAATAGAGAGGCTGGTCTTTTCAAAGTAGATAGAACAAATTTGACCTAGAAACCTTGGATTTATTCTAAAGTCAAGAACAGAGAAGGAAGTGGGACAGGGAAGGTTGCCTGAAGGAATAGTCCTAGGTGCAGATTTCATTCACATCACTCTTTATTGTTTCCGTGTGGGAGGGCCCCCACCCCAGTCTGGAATGGGCTGGCTTCTCACGGAATGGGCTGGCTTCTCACACTCTGAGTGACGCATAGCTCTGCCTCCATACTGAAAAAGCATTAGCACCTCGCTCTCCAGAAGAACCTGGATCTGCCCCTACCTCCCAGTCTCCCTAGCTTGGAGTATAATGCAGTGTGGTGGCAGATATGCCTGTAAAAAGGCACATCAGATGATGGTGGCAGTGTGGGGATGGCATAATGGCCTCAGAGCAGATCCCTTTTACCTAGCCTGTCACCTGCAGCTGTTCGTTACCCCAGAAAGAGGTGTCTTGTCATCTCCTCCCTCACTAATGGGCACCCAGCAAATGGATGGACTGCCCAAAATGGGAGTTACCCTGGCTGAGATGTAGGTCTGGAGCAGGGCATGGTCGGGTGGGGGCCTCCGAGCTCTATCCCCTTCATCTCCTTACTGAATTCACCTTTCAGCACTCATGGTGTGGAGCAGCTAGCTTCTACTTGTCCCTGGACAAGGTTTTGAGATGCAAAGTGGGCAGTTATAGTTGTGTTTATTGCCAGTTTTCCTATTAGCTATCTAATAGTATTGGATACTGAGGAAGTGTTTGATCAGTGATGTGAGGTGGCTGTAGGGTAGAGAGGTGGAGCTACCTGCATCTGACAGAGCAAGGAGGATCAACCCATTCCTTACTGGTGGTATTCCATGCAGAAAGTGAATATGCAAGGCTATTTCAAATGCTCCTTGAAACCTAAAAGTGGAGCAGACTTTGCAGACTGTGATTCCCCTACTTCCACTTAATTGGACAATGTGATACAAAATTAAACCTGTAGTTAAGATTATGAGAAATCTTTTCCTCCCTTGGTAAGGCAGGTCTGTGAACAAATACTGCATCATCTGTATTTCTACTCCAGACTTTTTGGCAACAGAAGCTGCAGTTGGCACCAACTGATGAAAGTTGGGAGTTCAACCAATTCCCTGTGGTGTGTCTGGTAGAGATGGAATGAACCTCAGATTGCTCTCTGTGTTGCATCAGTAATGTACATCTTTGAATGCAAACCTGTTAATGTTATTTGTGTTACAGTAGTGCCTAGAGGCTCCAACCAGGAGCAGGGCTTGATTGTGCAAGGCACTCATTTTACAGAGCTAGACACGTGTTAAAATGGCTTCATTTTGCTACCCTTCACTTGTGTTTGAATCACCAAAAAGCTGAATAGTAATACCTTCTAAATTATTTCCTGCTGGACAATGGCTCTCGGGCTCTCTCAGTATTCGTTAAACTAGTTAATGTTTTTCTTGTCTTTCGATTCCTGTCTGTGCTTTACTTACAGCAGAACTAGTTAGTGGTTATAATTTATATTGTCCTTTAGAGACTATTTGGTATTTCTATGTGTTCTTTAGCTTTTATTTTTTCTCTGCTAATAGACCTTTGGTATGGCTGAAGAGTACCACCGAGAATCGATGCTGGTCGAATGGGAACAGGTGAAACAAAGGATCCTTCATACGCTTCTTGCTTCAGGAGAAGATGCTCTTGACTTTACCCAGGAAAATGAGGTATTTCTGAAATTTGATCAACATTGTGCGTGGTTCTATACAGTCCACACACCGCTAGTATCTGGTGTTGCTGAATTCAATGGCGATTATTGTACAGATATGATTGTATGAAAAAAGAGAGGTAGTGGTATTTATTTAAAATCTCTAGTGAATTCTACAGCGACTAGGACTTCTTAAAATGGCTTTTATTTACTGAGTGAAAGTAGAACACGTATTGTTATTCCCACTTATTATGCAACAGCTTACACAGGCTGGAACTCGTTAGACACATTGATCCCATTGGGGAGAACTTGGCCTGCAGTAATGCCAAGGCAGTTCTGGTGAAGTCATTGGAGCTGCCTGGGTATAACTGTGGGTAGTGTCTAAACCTTACTCTTATCCTATATCTCTCCAATATCATCTTGTACCGGCCTAGATAGATGACATTCCTTCTACCTAAGGGGAGCAGCTACATTCACTTGCTTGATTTGGCATGGGCTGACTTGGAGAGACCAAATGAACGGAGAAGTGTGGGAGTGTGATTTGGGTCAGGAAAGTTTTATCCTCCAAGTTTCTCTGTGCTGAGCCCAGTTTAACTGCAAGCCACCTCTAATTCACATGCTTCAAACAGCAAATGTCACAGCTTGGGCTCCTATTGAAGGTGCCATTTTCTATGGAGGTTGGTGTTTTATGCTTCTGAGTCCTCATCTGTATGTTTGTTCAATGCAAATTAATTAAGATGAATAAGAGTAACAAAATCATTTAAGGAAAGCTGGATACATACTTATGTGCAAATTAAAAAAACCCCAAACAATTACCCAGTATATTCCCCTCCCCCCCCCCCAAAAAAAAAAAAAAACAAAAAACCCACCACCCCTCCACATTGTGAGCAGAACAGCACACAGCTGAGCGCAAAGCTATGGTAACTCGACTTCTTTTGTGCTGGGAGCACCAGGCCAAACTATGTCCCTGGAATGTGCAGTTACATCCCAGCCCCCCAGCCACTGTTCCATGCAAAACTATAACCTTGAAGAGGAGAAGCAGCATATTACTGTGCTTAAAAGCCTGAAAACAGTCCCAATTTTTTTAGCCTTGCTTTTTTCTCCTCTCTCCTGTAAAGCTGCTGCTCCTTGGAGCCATTTATGGCACTGCAAACTGCGGGGTGGTATTTAAAAAAAAAAAAAAAATACTGGAGTTAATGGGCTATGGTCTGTATGGGGATTTGGAAATAATTAAAAGTTGTGAATGAAATGTTCCTCTTTGATTGCTGATCTCTTAAATATAGGTTAATCCAGTTAATACATTGCTTTTTATGGAAACACCCTCCCCCTGGAAGGTATTTTACTAGTGCTTTACTGTGGCTTCCCTGCAGGCACCAGCTTTGCTGTATTAGGAATGGCAAATAATGCAGGCTAAACTCGTTTAAAGCTAGGCAAGACCATCCCATTGTCTTGCGACATGGGAGTCTGTAGATGCCAAAGCTATTCTGGTGTCTTCCAGCATCTTAATTTTGTGTGCAAGAGAAATATTTTGAAGTTTTCTTTTGCTTTTCCTTGAAGCATCAGCTATTGGCTGCTGGCCAAAGCTGGATACTGTAATTAGTAGCCCAACGGACTGCTCTGATTATGGCAAATCTTGTCTTCCGACGTCTTCGATATCAAAATGGACACTAAGCCCATCCAAAGCACTTGAGACACAGAGTGCACACTGGTGGAAAGAGATTTCCCCCCAATAATTTTTGTGAATGAGTTTTATAGAATGATAGTGCAGATCCAGTGTCTAAACTCCACTCTCCCCTTCAAAGCTCTTGTGGTATCAGTGTGTCAGTTCAAGAGCATTTAAAATCCTTGATATATTCCAGTCCTTGCCTTGAGAAGTCAAAGGTCTGAGAGGTTTGAAGTGCATCTACTGTGTTAAAAGCCGGTTATCTAAGCCCCCCACAGCAGGTTGTTCTTCTAAAGCCTTGTTCCAGTCAAATAAGATTTGTGTGTGTGACACAAACAGACACAGCATGTAGAGTATAGCAGAGGCTTAATTGATATCCTTTGGAGATGCAGAATCAGTTGAAAAGGCACAGATCCAAACACAGCAGGAGGCAAGCCAGCCAGTGAGCCAGTTCTCAGGCTTTGGGCAAGCCAGTGTAGGCACACTGCAATATACATTACTCATGGAAATAGGACCAATTAACAGGCAAAGCTTATAATTCAAAGAAGCCAGCACAGAACTTGCTTCTGAATCCCACCTCTCCTCTCACCCCGCCACCCGCCAACTATTTCTCTCCAAAAACATGTTGAATGGGAAATAGGAGGAGATCTTGGTGTTTGTGTTGCGTGTTCCAGAACTGCTCATGTAATCAGGCCAGTTCACGTTAGTTCTTAGGCTTTTCTTTTGGCCTGTCATTCTGAGCTGCTGCGTTTTGCTCTATCCCGATCCTCCCCTCTCCTGTTGTAAAGCTTTGCTGTCAAGCAGCCCGTTCCTGCAGGGATGAAGAGGCCCTACTGCTCTAAATCTTCCTTCTGCCCAGTATAGCATGCCGTCACGTTCCCTGAATTCTAGGACTTCATGATGCTTTCAGGCAGCGCTGCGCAAAAATGTGAGTATTTTGATGGGTGTCCTCCCATCCTGGTCTCCTGCACAGTAATATACTGTCCACTGGCCAAGCCATTTGGAGCGCTGACAAAATGTCTGCCCAGGTTTCCGCTTACAAATGTTCCTATGCATATGAGGTTAATGAATAATGCATCTTTATAAGCATGCGGTTTGGTGCACAAGTGAAAGTAAATGCTCGGCTGAGTACAAGTAAAGGAAGAATCCTTTTAAAAGGCAGCATTGTTGAGCAAAATTAATTTTAAAATAGAAGTGTGGTGACAGTACCGTCTAATGGCAATTTTGGGAAATGGATACTTTTGAAAAATAAATATTGCCGTCCCAGAAAAATCTTTTTTTAAAGACCTAAATTCTTGGCAGGAAGAAACAAATGTGAGTCGTGAAAGCAGAACAAACCATTTAAATTGTAGGACACTACATAAACATAAGGGTGTGGATGTGCATATACTGTATATATTTCTCCAATTCATTCAACACACTTTCTCCCTGTGTTTCTTTTCCTGCTACTGTTGCATTTAAGATAACATAGTACATGTTGCCTTATCAACTGCTAGTCTTTTTCTCTCTTCTTTTATAATCTTCACCTTTTAAATATTTGATCACCTCTGCCCTCCTCCCTGAAGAATCCTAAATGACCCCCTTTCCCCATTTCACAGTAGGAATAGCTCTTTGAGGTTGCTGGTTATAAAATGACAGCTTGCACAGTGCTCTATTATTCCATTTTGGGGCAGGGAGCAGCAAATGCCCTTTTCCACGTTAACATGTTGACTTTAGTGTCCACTTCTTAAAATGAACCTAAAAGTGCTGTCTCCAATTTCCAATTCAGTTAGGAGAGGTAATGCTGCTGTTTTTCTTCGAGTGCTTGCTCCTGTCAATTCCAAGTTAGATGTGTACGCACCACGTGCACGGTCGTCGGAAGGTTTTTCCCCTAGCGGTACCCATTGGGTCGGCTGTGGAGCCCCCTGGAGTCGCGCCTTCATGGTGGTGTATATAGGTCCCTGCCGACCCGCTGCCTCCTCAGTTTCTTCTTACCACCAGTGACGGTCGTTGGAGCAGCTCTTCTCTTGCTACGGCAAGCCATCCCCTTGTGGACTTTTCTTGTACCAGTAAATAGTTTGAAAACTTAGTATTAGTTAGTTTTAGTAGTTCATAGTTAGTTTAGATGAGTTTTAGTTGGGGGTTTCCCCCCCACCGCATTTCCCCTCCCGGGGTCCAGGGCATGCCTCGGTCTTAGGGGTTCAAACCATGTGGGTCCTGTCCAAAGCCTATGCCAAAGGGAGACCCGCACGACTCCTGCTTAAAGTGTTTGGGGGAAGCCCGTTAGATGGAGAAGTGCAAAATCTGCAGAGGCTTCCGCCCAAGGACTAAGAAGGAGAGGGACTTTAGGCTGAAATTGCTCTTAATGGAGTCTGCCCTTCGTCCCCAGCCGGCACAGGCGGCGTGCGTCCCCAAGCCCAGCACTTTGATGCGGAGTGCGCCGGCCTTGGTAAGAGAGGCTGCGGCGCCGAGAAAGGACTTGGGCTCCAGGGACCCTCAGCACCACCATTCCCTGACACCGAAGATCACCTCAGGTGCGAGTGCTCAGCATCGCTTCCATTCATCAGTCAGCACAAAAGAAAGACCAACAGAAGTCTCTCTCCCAGTAGAGCAGTGTAGTGAGGAGGCACCAGCGCGGTGCGTTCCACACTGGGACATCCTACTCCGGCTCTGACTCAGCCGGCACAGTCAACTCGGGCCTCACAGGGAGGTCTATTGAGTCCGATTCTAGTGAAATCCCCGATGCGGGAGTGTTGGGGGGGAGGACTTAGACCTTCCCTCCACGCCAGACACCTGTGAGGCAGCTAGGGACCTCATTGTGACGATGGGGCAGTCCCCTGCACGGGCACCGGCACTGTAGAGGCACAGTGCCCTCTAAGGGCAAGCCAGTGGTGATGCGGGACCACTCGCCCTCACCTCAGCACTGCTCCCTGGCACCGTGTCACTCTGTTGGTTGCTGAGGTCGGAGGCCTCATCAGACTTGGAGGCAGAGTCGTATACTTCTAGGCAAAGCTGGCGCCGCTCCAGACAAGAGGAAGGACAGGTATTGCCTATGATGCCGTGGCCACCCAGTGGCAGACGCTGGCTCAATGGCCCTTCTGAACCTCCAGGGCCAGGATCCAGATCCTTGTCGGTGGTTTCGGAGACATGGGCCCCTCCATCATAGTCATCTTTAGCCCAGGAACCTCCACGAGGCCAAGAGATGGGCATGCAGCATGGCACCAAGACCGCAGTGGGACCTGGCACTGGGTCCAGTACCGAGACAAGCACAGGCCCAGAAACCAGCACTGCTTCCTGCACCATGCAGGTCTTTTCGGTGCAGGGGGATCCCTGCGAGCCAGAAGGTCAGGAAGACCTGATGCCCCCCTCTCCCCCCA